TGGCACATCTGTCCGTGAATTTGGCGTTTGGCAAGCCAGTGCTGATGCAGGACATGGTGCATGGTAGCTGCTGCCTGTATTTAAGCACACACACACACACACATATCTGTTTATATTTGTTTAGGGTATGGAGTTAATATCCATTTATTTTAGGGCAAAACCCTGAGGTACAGAGGTTTAAAGCAGTAACTTAGTGCATTTCACTTGTGCTGCAGATGGGCCAGATCAGGAGCCAGTCGACATCAACTTCGAGCCGCCCTACAAGAGGATTCCCTTCATGGCTGGGCTGCGAGAGGCAATGGGTCTGCAGGATGATGCCGAGTGGCCCCCCAATGAGGAGCTGGACACAGAGAGGGCCAGAGCATACTTTCTGAAGCTGGTGCGGGCCTGCGTCCCCATCTCTTTGAAGTGTTGTTCACAGTCACCCACACAAATAACAATGTGCTTCATCTGTCCCGCCACACCCTCCCATGGTGGTGGCCGCAATGAAAGCGGTACATCGCCGTCGATGCTTGTCCAGAACCGTTGTCGGAGCTGTGGCCATTGACCCTCTGGCAGACACAGGTCAGGAAGATTGATCCATACTGTTTACCTTAGGAGAAGGTACCTGCAGTGGCAGGAGGGGTTTTAGGGGGAAGAGACCCAGGCATGGCCGCATGTCTTGCTTCCAGCAAGAGGCCTTACGATTTGTGCACCGAAGGCATGCCATGCCAGGGTTGAGCTGCGGCAAGCGCTTGTTTTCCTTTTGCAGTGCAATGAGAGGAAGGTGGAGTGCCGGCCGCCGCAATCCACGGCGCGGCTGCTGGACAAGCTGGTGGGCGAGTATGTGGAGAGCCAGTGCCTGCATCCCACCTTCCTCATAGACCAGCCCCAGATCATGTCCCCGCTTGCCAAGGGGTGCGCGTTCCCTCCTGGACCTCCAAATGAATTTCCCCGGTCATGAGGGACCGCCCCTCCTGAACACCACGTGCAGCTGCTTACAAGATGCGCAGTGCAGCGGCAAAGCTATCATCATGTACATACCACTGGTATGATACCAGGAAGAGGACGTGCATTTCTGTGGTGAGTATTTAATGAAGCGCAGGCAGGAAGAAGATACACTTCTCAGTGGCGGACCTGTCAACTGTGTGCATGCCCCGCGCAGGCACCGGACAGAGCCAGGCCTGACAGAGCGCTTCGAGCTGTTTGTGAACTATAGGGAGCTGGCCAATGCGTACACCGAGCTCAACGACCCTGTCGTGCAGCGCGCTCGCTTCCAGCAACAGGCTCAGGTATCCCGCTGCTAGCAGACACCTGCGCAATGCCCTTTCTCGCCTCATCAGCATTAACATTTCATGAAGATGACATGTGGCTGACAGCAGCAAACAATCAAGTGTAAGTGTTGAAAGCCTTACAAGGATTGACTTGCTGTTCACCATATATGCAGCAAGGTTGTTGCATGTGTAGTCAGGTCCTGGGCCTAGAAGGGCAATTATCGAGCTTTGGGTCCGCATGGAGGCTTGTCGAGGCTGCATGGGGCAGTGTTGTGCTTCTTTCCCGATCCAATGTGTTGGTGTGTGTGTGCCAGGCAAAGGCGGGTGGGGATGACGAGGCGATGTATGTGGACGAGAACTTCTGCACGTCGCTGGAGTATGGCCTGCCGCCCACCGGCGGCTGGGGCATGGGCATCGACCGCCTCACCATGCTCCTCACCGACACCCTCAACATCAAGGAGGTATTGCTTTGTTGCCCCTGTCTCCTGCTGCTCCCCGCACTGCCTTGCCAAAGGAGCACTGTCAGCACCTGCATTTCAGCAGCTGTTGTCCGCTGGCCGAATTGCACACAGTACCGTTGGGTGTTGAAGCGCCACTGAGCTCCTCTGTGGTAAATAAGATCAAGAGATACAGGTAGTCAGCAGGTTATTCACTCGCTTTCACAGGACAATCAAGGGTGTGCGAGCGCCAGAAAGAGTTAACATATGAATCCCACGTCAAAATGTAGTGTTGTGCGAGATGCTGTGTGCAGGAAAATGGCCGTGTCTGACTAGTGCCAGACTTGAGAAGAAAATTCGCCGCAGGTGCTGCTGTTCCCAGCCATGAAACCGGAGGACCAGAAGCCGTCCGCGTCGGCCCCTGCGCACGAAAAGGCCCCAGTTCAGGGCAACACCACCGCACAGCCCCAATGACACGGCCACACACCTTCACCAGATGTCAAATGCCCAGGTTATGCACGTACTATGGTTGTGTCTGCAGCCTGGCGTGTTTTCAGGAATGCATCTCTACATGTTTGATAGTGGGGCCACCCGGGCCATTGCAGGTCACTTCGATAGTACTGCTGCACTGCCTGATTAGAAGCTGATCCTGCTGATGCGCCTCTGCTGCATCACTGCAGCGTTTGCTGCTGTGCAGGGGCCTGCGCACTTGATGGTGGCATTTCAGAGGTGTGCATGCGAGGTTGTTCTCTTGCAGAGAGGAAGACATCCACTGAGTTTGTCGTTCAAGTGGACTGCATTGCTGAACCTTGAAGTGGCTGCTTGCAGGGGATCTGGTTGGAGGTGCGGTGCCTGCCAGTTGATATCCAGAGTGTGACCACTGCACTGCGTCTTTTTCCCACAGCAGGTGCACTGTAAAATTGGGTAATGTAACTCAAAGAGTTAGAGAACACATATTCTGATGCACTGTGCGCGATAAATCAGGCTGGACAAGCGCACTGTGAAGACTCATACGAACATGGGGAGCGCTACCCACGTGTAAACATTGTTCACTCATGTTCTGTTCCAAGATATACCACCAGATCAAGAACTTCATACTCGGCTTGCATGACTACACTCATGGGTCTTGGCCCAAAGACTCGCCAGACACTCACAACATGCTTCACATGCCTCAAGTCAACTTCTGTGACAGATCTGGTTGTCCAAAGAGGAACGCTCAAAATCTCGTCAAAATGGCAGTTCTCGTGGAATGCCATCATCTTCAAATCTACAGCTTTCACCAGTGCTTCTAGGCAGCAGACTAGTCCTGCTGTTCACTCATGCGCAAATATGCTGCTCACTCTGGTGCAAACTTCACAAAAATCTTCCCCTCGCCATTCACCCTTGCCGGGTACACCCGCAAATCCTGCGGTTGTGACTTCTCCTGTGCACATTTTGGCACATCATGAGTCAAACCAGCCTTAGCAGGCGAAGTATAGATTTTAGACAAACATCCCTGCAGCCGCTGGCATGCGCACTCAATCCACTGGCTTCAATGAGCACTCAATGCTGTCTGCCTTGGATTTCTGGTCTCTGGAGTGCTGGCTGAGCGCCCCTTCAATGCATGCATGCACAGAACCCACACTGAAATCTTACCTTCAATGCGCCCAGTACAAATCTGACAGGGTTGTTCCTTGGGCACCACTCCAACACCTGAACAGAGCACCACCATAGAGCACTCAATCGTTTGCAGTATGATTTCACATGGCATGTCCCTTTTTTCAACTGCCCTCCAGAGTTGTCAGTGGAAGGGCGCACAATAGGAAGGATAATGTTGAATCCCGAACACAATGGCAGGTCATTATGACCATGATGAGAATCCTGCAAGCTCACCTTCCCGGTGTCAAGGTCATAGACTGTCCCGTCAAGGGGTACCTCAACTGCTGGTCCATCCTCCCCTGAGTGCAAGGCTCAAAACTTGGTGCATGTTGCGGCGAGTCACACGATTCAGCACCTAGATCTGAACGGACAGCATGATGCTTCCAGATGCAATGCGCTGCCGAAAATGAATGAAATTACAAGATCTGACAAATTTGGTAGCTGTACTGCAGCCATGGCCCCGCTAGGCAGAATTCTATAGTATGGATGCTGTGATACGCAAATGCCAGCACTTTAAAACCAAGTATTAAACAAGAGACTCATGTGCCGGTTAGCTAAGTGGCAGTCACCCACTCTCGACTATGTTGGCATCAATCAGGGGGAACTTGAACGCAGTTGAGTTGGCATCGGAGCAGTAGATCTCGCTGCCCACTTGATACAAGACAATCGCACTGTTGTCTCTAAGGATCTTTGGCAGTGTGTTCTTGCCATCCTGCATATCACCCCATTCCTTTCAGTGACCGATCACTGCCAGGAATGCATCAACAAGTTCAGCACATCTGTCGCTTTGAAGAGGGCTGTCAATGACTTGCTAAAAATCTTGGCTTGTCCGATCAGAACGAGCAAGAGAACAACAGGGTTCATTGGTGCATCACCTTGAACTCTGACACCATGGCAACCGGCACCCACTCTGGATTGCTCTCCTGCAGTGCTGGCCCCGATCTCTTCCTCTGCATTGTTGCAAATGTCACCAACAGATCCAGCGCTTCGATTACGCAGCTTGCAGGTCAATGCATCTGTAACTGAAGCTTTAATGCTATTCTGCAAGATGTACAGGGCTTAGCTCCCGCCAGTATTTCACCTTGCTTTTTGTCTTACTGCTGCTTCCAAAGCCCTTGCTCTGCGCACAGCACGCTTGCCGTTTTGTTGCCGACTGTTTTCTTTGCGGCAATATATGATGCCTTTGCGGCAACAAAGGATGTGGGAGCAGGGAACATGGAGAGCCTCTGCCCACTCTCCAAGTCTCCCCTGTTCATCGAGAAATCTCTCATCAAGCTCAATCTCATGATTGGTTATCTATAAGATAGCAATCACAGTCGATCCATCGGGTTGAAGGCATTGATAGAGTCCTTTAAACAACCCAGGACGACCTTCGCAAGATCTGAGATCAGTCTCCTTGACATTGCCGATGTGCCAGTCGTCTCAATAATCGTTGTGTCTAGAACATATCCGCATAAAAGTTGGGCATTGCGATGTGGACTGTGTGAAAAAGTGTTGGGCACCTGCAGCAGATAACAAGTGGTGATGTTGCAAAGCTGACGTTCCAAACATCCTTAGTTGGTGCTCTGTGGCAACTCTGCAATGCAACTCTTTCTGGCTCCTTCTAAGATTGGTTGTGTTCCTCCAGTAAATCGCTGAGGGTGGTCAAGATCAAAATAAAAAGAAAAGAATTTGGGTGGTGTGGGGTTCGAACCCACGCAGGCTCTCGCCTACGGGATCTTGAGACCCGCCCGTTAGACCACTCCGGCAACCACCCAGACACCGAATGACATCTGGGCATTTTTTGCCACATAAGTACCCCATGCAGAGGCCACATCATTCATTCGTCTTCTCAATCCAAGCGGATATTACTCGACGTAACTTAATTAATTAATCCTGCAGTAGCTCCCTGCTGGTATGGTCCGTACTTGCAGCGGCAGATGTCAGTTATTCCGACAGCCAACTGAGGAATCTGTATGGCGCTTACCCCATGACGTGCTTTCGGTGCTTAGAAATAGTATCACAATTGTGCCAAGGTGTTTCACGTAGTTTAGGATCCCGTAACGTCTGACCAACTTTAACCCAAAGTGGGCGAAGTTAGTGAATACGTGCACCACTGGATGGTAGCACAGCGGCATGCGACTCCACGGTGGTAAGATCAAGGGACGCTTTCATCAGTTTTTTCACGTTCGATCATGGCTCCAGCAGGACCTCTTGTCAGGGTTTGATAGAGGTCCCAAAATATTGAGGCTTCCCTTCAGAGTCCCAAGGTGGGATGTGAGGTTCGTGCCCCCACATGCCGGTGTTGCTCTCATATTGCGGGCAGCCCTCAACAGCTGGCATTCTTTCTGAGGAATTGGATCGTAAATTAAGCGGAGCTTTGAAGTAAGATCTAGTTCCACCAGACAGCTGAGGCTGTCCTCAAGCTGAAAGGCCTAACCAGAAATCATGAATTGAATGCATACATGCATTGAATTGAATGCATACATTCAATGATTGCCCTCATAAGATCAAGAGATGCATAGTCCTCATGCCCTTGGCAAAACTCTCTGACTACTGGCAGGTTCCCCTCTAGTTCTGCCCTTACCCTTCACATGAGTCTCCGGGATTCTTTGGCCCTATAGGGCTGTCAAACCCTGCCTCCTATTGTCTCAATCAAGTCCCTGCTTGTTTTTGAGACGAGGGCCATGCCTGCAATCCGAGGAGGTGGAAGAGAGCAGACGGATGCCAAATGCGGGGTTGGATCTTTGCTGGCCGTCCGACTTGATCGCTGCCATCAGAGAAATTATTTGAAAGAATGTTCCTACCCCGGGCCTTTCCCGGACACTTGGGCCAATGGTTGCATGCATCTTTTGGTTGAGCTCGTGCTGCCTTTCACAAGCTTCAAGCTCCAAGAAGTTCTTCTTCCCAATTGCAGAAGCTTACATAAGCCTGATATCTATCTGCTCCGTTGCGGCAACAAGTGTACATCACCGTGTGACACAAGTGACTATGCGTGCTATGCATGCACGCCGGCCGAAGCCCACTGCGACGTCGATATGGCGGAGAATAGTCATGACTTCAACTAATTTGAGCGGCCTTAGGAATTTGCCTGTGGCGAGATGACCAAAAGAGAAAAATGTATCAAATATGATGGATGGTGTGGGGTTCGAACCCACGCAGACTTTCGCCTACGGGATCTTAAGGCCCGCCCGTTAGACCACTCCGGCAACCATCCAGAACACAAATGTCAGACGGGTATTTTCCGGCAACTATATCTGCTAATGCATACACTGCTGAGACAAGTCTCCTGTTCTCCTCGCGCAAAGTTATGTATTGCTCATTCGATTTTGACAAACTTCCCATCAAACAGGAGTCCAGAAACGGATATCAAATCAACAAGGAGTTGACTTCTCTGGCTGGCCTGGAAAAGTTCGAAATCGTCGTTGCTTAGCGCTCAACTAAGTCACATATCATTGGTCCTTTACATTCAGGTTCCCTGTAGTTCTGAGTTGCTTCAAAGTACCATTGCTGACTCTCTGAAACGCTTCAGGGTATTGGTGGTTTCTAGCCTAAGGCATTCCTTTGCTTGGGTGAGGGAGGTGAGAGGTTGTGTTGGAAAGGCACGCCTTCAGTATCGTTTTGCTCTATAGCATGCAATACACCTGCGACCGTGCGCTCTCCATCGGGCAGCGTGTTGCAGCAAAGCTGATACAGCCGGGCATATGGAGGCAGAAACGCAGGAGAATGTGTGGGGTCTGCAACCTAGCTCGTGGGCGCTCTGAAGCAGAAGGGCAAAGCTTTGAGGCTGAATTCAGAAAATACGCAGACCTCGATAGAGTGCAGAGGGCGTCCCAGCACCTGGAACTGACCTGGAAGGTGTCTAAGGTGACTCAGCAATCTACTCGCTGGCACACATCTCGAGCTTCTGGCATGTGTAGCTCCTTGCAGAAGAATCTCAAAGTTCATGTCCTTAGTATATTTTGTCCACACTGCGCCACTGTCGCCCTCATGGTGGAGGGCTGCGTTCCCATTTTCTTGTTTGAACAACACTGTTGACTGGACAATGTGTGTGTGTGTTTGTGTGTGGCGCAGAATGCTAAGCCATGTACCTGCAGCTCCTGTGAAGGCACAGGTCACCAGCCATGTCCCTGGTGCAATTCCACAGGTGCCGCCCTGTCATACCTTCATGCAAAGAGAAGCAAGACACTGGAGGCAGAGCATTGATTATGTTGGGAGACCTTGAGAGCAGTGATTTTCATTTGGTTGAAGGGTTGCGATAAGGAAACGCTTGACTGTCAATGGTGTGACTTCACAGGAGCAATGCGACTGGGCGAGTACTTGTTCTGCTCAATGGAGTCTGGGTGCAAGCCCTGCCCCATCTGCAGGAGCAAGGTAATCCGCATCGCTTTGAACCTCCATTTGCTGGATGCACTGAATTACCTTGGATCTATAATGTGAAGATGGCCTGGCAGCATCTGCCTGATCATCAATTGCTTGGTGCCGTGATTTGCTTTGTCCAGGCAGGGGCACCGAGGCACCAGTTATGCATGCAGGGCAGCGTGCCGAATTGTTGTATGCCTTGCAGGGTAACATCCCATGTGAGCACTGCAAAGGGACTGGCTATAGAGCGAGCTGGCTGAGCTCCTGATGATGGAGCCAACTAGTTGTATCACTGCTGTGGAGTGTGACAGAGAGTTGAGGACAGACACCAGCTGGTCGAAGCAGATCCAGTGGAGAGTTGATCAAGGAGCCCACTGTGTAGAATAGTACTTCCCACAGCTGTAGAACAATGCATCCCCATGTTTCTTGGAAGGCACGAATGACGTGCTCGAGTAGTGCTGCTGGATTTGCATTCCGGTCTTTAGTATATTGGACTACTACTCTCTGAAGTGGACTCAAATTTCAAGTAGCGCAGCTGTAGAATAATTCAGGAAGGGCCATGTCACATTGGCAATGTGCACATTCACAGTCAATAGTTTTGGTTTCCAAACGAATTTCATTGTTGATTGGACCTTGCACACACCTGCTAGACTAGACATCATCGTGCGGTGTGAGTACACATATTGCCAAGAGTGCTGGACATTGCGAGCAGAGTACAAGAGGCGCAAAGTGAGGGTACATTACGCAATTGTCTCATGTCCATGTGCCACGCACATGCTCTTGAAAACAATCCGCTTCAGCTGCCCAACAGGGCCACGCTGTCCATCATGTATGCAGCTGAGTATTTCTTCACTGCTGCTGCTAGCGGCGCTGTGCCTGGGGTTGTCCAGAGCTGCTCAGCGCAGCGTCAATAACACTCTCTTTGGGCTTATTTTACAAATGGATGCATAAATGGATGCGCATCTGCATCTGCATATAAGCATGGGAAAAACTCTGCACAAATGGTTGGGACTGGCTGGCTCACATGCGATGGAAATGGCGTGCTCACATGCAATGCAAGTTGTTTTCATCTCTTTCGCAGTCCATGAGCGAGATCTGCCACCATCAGCAAGCTGGTAATATGCTTCAATTGCTCATGTCATGGCCATTTTTAGGACTTTCAGGGCAGCAGTGATGTCATCCACTGGCCGAAGCTGGGTAGCAGACTCTGCTCAGCAGAAGTCCACAGGGCACGGCCACTGTTATGGCGCAGAGCCAAAACACCCCCATTTTCCAGCACGAGCCGAGTGCGGCTGTCCCCCATCTTGTCTGTGTTGCTGGCCCAGCCGGCAAAGCAGCCATCTGCTGCGTAGAGAACAACATTGCCATCATCCTGGAAAACCCACACAACAGAAATCAGATTCTCTCAAGACCTGCGCAAGACTTCTATTGGCAAACATGTCCCGGAAAGTTGAGACCACACATGTGAAAGCTGGCGGCAATGCAGACACTGCTTGAAAGTCTCCAATGGTTTTTTATCCAATACTGACAGTGTTTTTGTAATGCCTCTCAATGGGTTATGGGCACAGACAGCAGGTAGCTCAGAAGTAGAGCAGCTTGGTTGTCTGCCGTGCCAATGGAGCTTGCAAAGAAAATGATTCGACCCTGGTATTATTCATTGGAACTGCTGACCTGGACAATAAGCTTAGCTGGCTTAGGGCGGGTAGTGCTGGTGTTGGTTGCCCATATGGCGGCACCATCCCTGTACACCTGAGTTCAACACCAGTGCAAACTCAAGTTCTCTTGCATGAAATTATGCGCCTCTGCTCTAATGTCTCACCTTCGACATTTTTGTACATTTCAGTTTGAGCGCCTTCTGCGTTGGATGGAATGTTGGCTGTTGGTGTTGATCAAGCAGAGAGTTAAAGGATACTTCACGCACCACAAGATTGCCATCGTCCTGGAAAGTGAACTTGCTGTGGCCATCTGGGGAGGTCATGGACTGTCCCTCGCGCAACTCACCTCCAGCCAAGAGCTCCGAAAAGCCACTCTGCAAAGACAACTGGAAAAAATTGCCAGTTGCCTGCTTGCAATATGGGTCTTCATGCATCTGAAGTGAGAGGCCGCTAATAATCTGCCTCCCAAACCGGACACCAAGTAGATTAATGTGTTTAATGAGATGCGTTGGACACAAGATGGGAAGGGCAGCACCATGGCATTCTTCTGGCGCTCCAGCGCTGCGCGTTCCCTCCTCTCTTTTTCGGCAGCCTGCCGGTGCTGCTCTGCCTGCAGCATCAGCTGCATGCACACGAAAGCGATGGACTACTACAGCAACACTGACCACCCTCTCTTGTGGAACCTCGCCCGTGATGCGCAGCGCCTGATCACACTGATTTGGAGTGCGGCTGCAAGGGGGTGCCACATTCACCAACGCTG